TTTTGTAGACCTGACAAAAAGGGAGCGTGACCGGTTTTCTGAAGCAATGCTGATGTATGTCAGTCTGCAGTGTTCTCAGACTCCCACTTGAGATGAAGCAAGAGCAAGACTACTTGATTATGTAATTTATTAGCAGTAGCATATACTGTTAAAAGGTAATGCAAATGGCCAGAGGTCGTGTGCCAGAAGTAAAAGTGATTTTAAAGCTGTGTTTTGAATACTGTATCGAAATGAGTATTTTGATTTCTATCCTGGATGAAGAACTGATGTTGTTAGATGTCTTTAGCAGCAATATTTTTTCACCCGTATGAAGGAAACCATTAGCATAATTGTTACGGGTTACTTCTTTACTGATTGCTTTTCTGTTCAGGATTTCCACAGACAGTAAAGAGAATTCCGTTTTTAAAGGGAGACGTTTGAATAAACTGATCTCTTCATTGCTTATAGACAATTATTTTGACAAATCATTCATTTTTATAGTAATTACTAGATATTTTAAACATGAGTTAAAATTCAGTTTAAAAACATTAAAGAATATAAGCAATATTTCTACATTAGTATTTATATACATCTCTAATAATCTGCTTTTAGGTTAATTCTTGAACAGCAGTTTTCCTCCTTTCTCCTTCCCCTTCATTTTCTGCCAAACTTCTCTTCTCCAAAAGTGGTGGAGGAGAAAAGATCTTGAATTATGTTTGCCTCATTTTAAGAGCTTTTGAATAGTTTGAAAGCTTAGATTCATTTTGATTAATAGACACATAATGCTGCTTACAGTATAACTACATACATTCCTGTTCCAAACAACTTTTGGATACACAACACACAAAGTAAGTTTCATAACATGAGAACAGAGATAAATAGTATTTCCCTTGTGCTTGCATCATCACCTTAAAGAATGATTGGTTTGCATTTACATTAGAGATTCCAAAATAATAAAAGTCACAATTTACCAAATCTGCTGTATTTGTTTGGTTGTCAGAGGAAATTGGTTTTATGTATCAGATGTGTATTTTTAACTTTTTGTTCATAGTTAGTTTTAAATAAATAAATAAACCCCACTAATACTTGCTGTAGAAACATCTGTTACAAAAGGCTAGTTAATTGTTTGGGTGTTTTTTTTAGTTTTAACAGCTGTCATTTGTAGCAAATGAGAGTATTTGCCATGTACTTTGTCCCTGAGCATTTGTTTACTTTCCCAGCTTTCTTTTTCTAAAGAACTGACTTTTCTGAATAGCAATGCCAAACTTTTAGAAGTCTCCTGTGGAGGTAAATGTACAAGTCTGTATATATAAATTGCTTTACAGCTTCTATTTGCATTTACTATATGAAAAGGTCTTAGCAAATTTGAAGGTATACAATGCATACATTGCATCCCTTTAAAACAAGATCCAGAGATTTCTTTGTACAAGGGTTTGTGTGCTTCGCTAGACTGCAGTGTCATGTGCAAATTCTCGCTTTCTCCTGAATTCTGCCTTTCACTGCCTTTCTAGGAAGCATGGCCATAACCTCAAGGCTTCAGGATATTTCTCAAAAAGAAAGTTTCTTAAATGATAAGAACTGAGGAAGCTTAGAGCCCAGAGTTCCTACTGTATTGGCAAAAGTTGTGTCTACAGACAGTTAGGCAAAATTTTGACCCAGTCACCTATGTGTGTCTCCATCAACTGAAGCAAATTGCTCAGGACTGTGGCCAGTTGGGTTTTTATTATCTTCATGGATAGAAACTCCATAACCTCTCTAGGCAGCCTGCCCTAGTGTTTAATCTCACAATAAGAAAGTATTTTCTGACATTTAAGTTGAATTTCCTGTATTTCAGTTTCTATCCATTGCCTTTCATACTTTCTCTGGGCACAATGGAGTATGGCTTCATCTTCTTTACTCCATCAGATGTTTATACACGTTGGCAAGATCCCTCCTGAGCATTCTCTCCTCAAGGCTGAACATTCTCAGTGCTCTCAGCTTTTCCTCATGTCTCAGATGCTCCAAACCATTAATCATCTGTGTGGCCCTTTGCTGGAGTCTTTCCGGTATGTCTTGTCCTGAGAAGCCCAGAACTGCACCCAGCACTCAGCTATGGTCTGCCCAGGGTTGAATGGAGAGGAAGGATCACTTCCCTTTACCTGCTGCCAATGCATCCTGAGGATGCCATTGGCCTTCTTTGCTGCAAGGGCACATTGATGGCTCATATTCAGCTTGGTGTCCACCAGGACCCTCAGGTCCTTTTCATCACAGCAGCTCTTTAACAAGTCCACAGCATGTATAGATTCTTTGCATTATTCCTCTTCAGATGCAAGACTTTGCATTTCCCTTTTTTTAAACTTCATGAGATCTCTGTTAGCCCGTTTTCCATCCTGTCAGTGTCCCTCTGCATGGAAGCGCAGCCATCTGATGTATTATTAACCGCTCAACCAAGTTTTGTGCTGTCCGTGAGCTTGCTGAGGGTGCACTTTGTCCCGTCATTCGGGTCATAAATGAAGACGTTAAACAGTACTGGCGCCTGTGTCAACCCTCCTGGTGACTGGCGTCCAGCTGGACTTCGTGCTGCCCTTTATAACCCTTTGAGCCCAGTAGTCCAGTCACTTTTCGTTGCACCTTGCGGTCAGTTTATCTGGTCCATATTTCAGCAGTTTGCCTATACGTTATGTTATGTGGGAAGGTGTTGAAAGCCTTGCTAAAATCGAGGTAAACGTCATCTGCTCACCCCTCATCCACCGAGCCAGTCATCTCGTTGTAGAAGTTTGTCAGGTCAGTCAAGCATGATTTCCCCTTTGCGTATCCATGTTGATTTCACCTTCTTGTCCTTTAGAGTTGGTTTTATCACCTACTCAGGGACTGAAGTAAGGGCTGGCGTGTAGTTCCCTGGATCTTCCTTCTTAAAGACAGGAGTGGCATTTACTTCCTTCCAGTCCTCAGAAACCTCCTTCTACTGCCACGACCTTTCGAACATAACGTACTCTTAGTAAACTTTTAAAATAGCTTTGGTGTCATTTAAAATTCCGTTTCCTTGCCCTTTCAGAGATGAAGTTAGGTTGCTGTTTCAAAGCTGTGAATTGCTACTTTTCAGATGCTGTCACCAATGATAAAATAGTTACCAGTGTTAAAACATCAATTTAACACCACTTTGTGGGTTTCTTTCAATACTTCCCATGCCTTAACTTTGTTGAATATTGTTCTTCTGCTTATATTGGGGAAAATGTAGCACATGTTGCAGAAGTTGAAAATGGTTCACAAAATAAAATGCATTTTGAAATCAGATTTTGTTTCTGTTATACAAATATTTGTGTCAACTTTATTTTCTGTAATATGAGTATTATTTTTTATGCTATTTTTTAGCTTATTTATTTACGTACAAAGAGATCAATACAATGATCAGTGAGGGTAGTGTAATGTTTTATAAGATTTTCAGAGTGGATGCAATTTCTCTTGCATTTTGTTTTGAGAACTCATTTATTCTTTTGCAGTTAATGTCATAAACATACAGAATTTTATGTTTTGCTGTTATTTTTTCCAGTAAAGACAATTGTTCAGTTCATTAACTCCTTAAATATTCTTTCCTGAATTTTTACCTGATATTTGCTGATGCTGGGAGGAGTTTTGTCTATGACTAATAAAATAATTGGTTCATGTTCTTCTTACAACATCCTAAAAGATATTTGTGGGCTTACTCTGTCTAATCTGAGCCATCATTTACCAGTGGAAACATGTCTTAATTTTTCTATGTGATCAGACTGGTATTGGGAAGCTACAAGCATAGCATTATTGATGCAAATATGTATCAGATTTTCTTATTTGTGAATAATACATGGATGTACTTTCAGGGATTGTGTAACAAAAAATGAGCCCTTTTTCCCCACTGTTCTTTTTGTTTCTGTTACTGTCTGTATACAGAATCAGAATAAAAGGCATAGTGGATTTTTTCATATTAAAAGAAACAAACAAAAAACCAATAGCAACAAAAAAAACCCCACCAAAAACCCCAAATGAAATGTAATGAAAAATGTAGTGAAAACATCATCTTACTGCATTGTAGGAATCTGAAAAGTAAGGAAATTCTTTACCTTAAGCGAGAAAAGTATGAGAAGGCTTGTAATCTGCAAGCAATCCATGTATGTATCTTAGAAGGGCCAGATGCATAGCTTTTGCACCATTGAACTCGTATTTAAAATGTGTACTCTTATTTAAAATGTGTCCTGTTTCTCAGTAGTTCAGTTGTTAAGATAATTGTGGAATAGCAACCAAAGGAGATGCAGAGTATTCTTTAAGTTTGTAGTCAGAATGCATTAAGCCTCTGCAGGTGCTTAGAAACAATGATCTAAAAATTGACTTGACAAGTCATTGTCTGACATGTGAGTGCACAAAACATCGATGTACAGACTACTAGCCTACCTGCTTTAAGCAAATACCAGGAGAAGACCACTTCAGTTAGCCTGAGAGAATCTTAAGGTCAGCCAGGTTGCAAGACCTGAGTTAGCACAGTAAAGAACGTACCTGCAGTTACTGTGACCCAGCTGATACATAATAAATTGATTTGGATCAACCCAAGCTTCAGTTTTTGGTCCCTTCAGGGGGCCAGCAGTGATGCTGAAGAATGGAAACAGTTTTGCTCTCCTGCTCTTAGACAGGTAGATGAAGAGCTATCAAAGTGCACAAGCGTTTCTGTATCAATAGTGGTAGCGAAGGCGATTTGGTGGCAGAGTGCATGCTGCTTTGGTAAGCTGCATGTTCTGGGAGCTGGGGGACAGAGTAAGTGCATCCAGTCTTAAGATTTAACCAGAAGCTGTCGTTCAAGGGTTCTGAGCTGATGTTCAGAAGCAGTAACACAATGTCAATGATCCTGGTGTTCTCTCTATTCCTGACAGCAAAATTGAGTTGTACAGCAACTGTTTGAGGCATGAGCCTCCTACTCTTAACCGCGGGCTTCATTTTCTATGATGTGGTAAAGTATTTTGGAAGTACCAATACAGGAAAAATGTTAATTAGTTTTTTCTTTTTGTTTCCTTTAGGACTCCTCCAGGATGGTTTCAAGCAGGTATAAAAGGTATGAGATCTTTGTACACAATATGTTTCTTTACATATACAGTTCTGCCAGAAATAAAGCTGATTAAATGGATGTTTGTAGTAGAGGCCATAGTACCGCTACTGTAGATATATAGACTTGTTTTACGGTAAGGACCTGAGAGATGCAGCAGACTTATCCAAACCCCTCTATTATGTTATTATTTTAAAATAAATTTAGCTAGTGTTTTCCTGGGTCTTACTAGTACAGAACAGTTTCCCAAGCAAATGGCTGACTTGACCACACTTTCCCTAGGAGCTTCACGGTTAACTTATGAACCACTGTTTTCTGAAGTTCAATACAGGAAGATAATTTTGTTCCTTTCTGCAGTAATATTGAAATAAATTTCTATGGTTTGGTCATACTGTCTCAGTTTTAGGAGATGCTGCCCATATGTAGCATGTCCTGTTTGTTATTTGTTTGTGTTTGAGCCAAGTGTTACTCTGGTCATTACTCAAGTTCTTCAATCAGAAAAATGTTTCAGAAGCTCTCGATGCCCCTGACCAGTGTGTGAAAGTTTTGCCCATCTGGAATTAATATTGACACAGCTATCACGATTGTTAGAAAAATGTAATGATAACATTGAGTCTGAAATACGTCAACTGAAGCAAGGCATTTGTGTAAACATATTTTTATTTGACACACAGATGTATTGTCTTTCAGATATCCTTTACTTAGGTAAAATAAGGTGGTTAATTCATCTGTGTGTATATATCCTGGCTGTAGAAGTAACTGCAAAGAGCACCTACAGTTATCTCATCTTCACTGGAGTATTTTCCACCCCCTCAGACCTTGTTCACCTATGGAATCATAGGATGGTTTGGGTTGGAAGGAATCTTCAACGGTCATCTAGTCCATCCTCCCTGCCATGGGCAGGGGCATCTTTCACTAAATTAGGTTGATTAAAGCCCCACCTAACCTGACCTTGAACACTTCCAGGGATGAGACATCTACAACTTCTCTGGGCAACCTGTTCCAGCACCTCACCACCCTCATTGTAAAAAATAACAACCTGTCCTGTTATGCTTTAGATTCCTTAGTGTGGTGCTGTCTTTTATATTTATATTCCTGGGTTCTCGTAAACCTAGTCAAATGATGCTTTTTATTGCTGTAGTTTTTTGGGGTTTTTTTAATCACTTTGTCATTGCATAATGGGTGGACTTATTGCCATAACTGTAATAACTATATAATCTCATGGTTACTTTCTTTTTAATCAAACACGTTTTAGTTCAGTCTCCACTTCAGCTTCTGTCCCTGTGCAGAATTTCATTGCTATTTGTATCTGCTGCTGAATACGTAGTGGTGTGTGTCATACTGCATTGTGGTTTTTCATAAACCTTATCTTTACTCTGTTCACATGCTATATATCCTCACTCACAAAAACTTGGTTATGTGGAGAGTGGTAATAAATAGAAGTTTGCGCAATCACAGTCGTAGCTTATTTGAAAACAAGCTAATTCTTCCGATTAGTACTGCAAAAATAGGAAACTTCGAAGCTAGGAAATGCTAAAATAAGGCTTGTTTGTGCAGTCTTCATTTAGTCAGCTTTAGTTATATGTGGGATGTACATTCTTTGTTCATCAGCTTCCCCTCTCAGGACTGGCATCACATTCAGGAGGAATATGATTTGCTGGGAACTGCTGTTCAATATTTTGTTATGTATGTTGCCATCTATCCTACTCATTGCATAGTCTTCTAAACTTATGTTGAAAATAATGGATTATTTTCCTGTGAGGTCAGCACAGTGCCCAGCACTCACAAATACTAAGTAGGTTTTATTCTAACTTCATGAGATATACAATGCCCATTGTGATTAGAGTTAATAGTATCCTTGGTTTTCCTCTATATTTGAAAATTTCTACCTCCCTTGAAGTAATTTTTCAGGTAAGAGTACTTGAACAAAGTATGTCTCCCAGTGGTTTCACTTTCTGGTGTGAGTGCTAAAGGAGTCAGGACCAGAGTCCTCTTGTGTTCTGACAGTGTTTGGCTTATTTGCCCCTTCTAACGTCTGCAGTAGGGAAGGTCTTACAGAAAACAGTCTCCTCTAGTTCTCATTCAAATCACTCACATCTCACTTAAGTCCCAAATACAGCAGAAGTCCTTTGGAAACTGAAGATGCCATTCTGTGATTACACCTTGATCTAGAATGTGAATGCCGAAAGACTGAATTGGCATCATAAGCTACTTGAAGGCACAAATATGTTCAACTTAAAGTGCTTTTAACAGTTTTGGATGTATTCCCTTAGGCTTTCAAGGCAGACTGAGAGCAAAGTATGTTCTCACATAGGAACAACCACTTTGAGATCCCATGTTAACTTGTGCTGCTCTGGTAACAGGTGGTCAGTGCTTTGTGGGTGGGGAAGAGACTGTTAGTAAACTTTGTAGGTATATGACAGCAAAAGGGAAAAAATAATGTTTTCCTAAAATCCTGAGCTCCTTCATAGACACGTTATTTGTCAGGAATTTTCAGGTCATTCTCCCTCATCTTTACTATTGCTGCTCCTTCTCCAGTCGTTCCTTAGCAGAAGTGACATCCCTTGATCTCAGCATTTTTCTTCACTGGTTCCCATTTCCTATCCTATTTAGACACCTTTTCCTCTCTCTCCCCCTTTCTCATACATCCTTATATTTAACCATTAAGGTGCTAGTCTTCTCTCTCTTTTTTTTTTTTTTCCTCTTTTGTCTCTATCCTCTTCTGACTTATAGTCCTGGGTTACTGACACCATCCCAGGCTTCCAGTACCTTCCTTTTCCCTTCCCATATAGCTGTTTTCATATCTACATTGAGATTCCCAGCCTCTGGGACCTAGCAAGGCAAGAGAGAGTGAAGAGCAGAGGGATCTGAACTGTGTGTTCTCATGGAATTGCTCTTCCCTCAGTATGTTCCATGGCTCAAGGAATTGCATAGTGTTTAGTACCTATTTAAGCAGATGCACTGGCTACTTTGACTTACATGGATGCAGCAATCCATAGTTAAACCTTTATATGGCATTGCTGAGAAACTTGTTTCACCAAGTGCCCGTTGACTGGAAGACATGTTTACAAATGAACTCTGCTGTTGTGGTATTCTACTTCTGTTCTGGCTGACTTGGACAAACCGAGCCCATCTCCTTACGCAGTAAAGTAAATAAAAGTTTAGGATGAAGATCTTAATCTATGATTTTACCCTGTGTTTTGAATTTACTTTGAAAATTGTCATACTTATACTCCAGAAGTTTATGCAGGGATTCCTTAGTAGCTGCATGATTAACTGCATGAAATATTTTCAAAAGTGATGGTTTTGTGTGTTCTAGAGTGGTACTGTAAGGTAAATTGAAAGTGTGACCAGACTTTGCAGGGTCCTGCTGACAGGAATCCACAGGACATGTTCGTGAGTGTATTTGGGAGTTGTGAGCAGCCATATGTCCTGACTGTGAGCTTTATGTGATTAAAATGTGTAGATATCCTTCAGTGGTAATAGCCCATATCAACTTCCTCATCTTTCATATTTGCCTAATCTTTTCTTCTTGTGATACGCCTCGTCTTGGCTGTTCTGAACTTCTGTTACTGTTAACTGGGTCTACCAGTCTTTGCGCTGTTTTGTGAGTCGTTATTTTAAAGCTACAAGCACATTGCCATTAGTAGGAATGTTTTTCCGATTCAGTTCTGATGCTATCAGCACAGTTGGTGTCATCACTGATTTCTCAAGTAAGAGAACAACAAAATGTGTTCTGTTCATTGAAATATTTGAGTGTAATCTATGTGTAAACATGAATTATGTTTCTCTTCGATTCTGTGAACTAAAAAGTTTGCAAGTAACAATAAAGCAAGATACGTACCTTGACATAGGAATATTTTTGTAAGTACAGGGAATTTGTTTTAGGAGCTTATTTTTAAGACTGTCTGCTAGCTTTTGAACCCATTTAGATTCTTTTTTAGAAATGTCTTAAATCGAAAAGAAAACCTTGCAAATCAGGATTTAAAATAACTCAGAAGATTTTTGCATGGTTCATGGATCAGACAGATCAGGCGGGATCAGTTTACAGAAAGTTAGATTAAAATCTCTTTGTGGTTCAGGGGTGTGTTCCCCTTGTAAGTTTGCTTATTAGTGGAAATGAATACAATATGGTATGGTTTTATGGCTTCCAGACGAAATGTCAGAGTTGGTTTTTGTTGGGTTTTTTTCCCCCTCTTTTAGGATAGTATGGCACATTAACATGGAACCCAACAGGTAGAGACCCTTACCCACTAATTATAAAAAACTGCATTGCACTAGAGTTTAACATTCATGCAAGAGTTGAAAAATAGATGAGGAAGAAGAGATGCTGAGAAGAGAAGCAGCTAGTGCTTCATAACACTTAGGGGAGGTGCTCTGAAGAAATTCTCTTGCTCAATGTTTTTAGAGTACTACAAAGCTTAAACTATAACAATTTACATTCCATCATACTATCCTAGGTCTCACTAATTAAAAAAAAATACAGCTGCAAAATACTGTTTCATAACACTATGCCCAGACTTGCCTGCTTGCCTGCGTTTGGGAGTTTTGCAGTGAGGGCTGGCTGTTGAAACGTCTCCTCTAGCTTTTTACATTAGGACCACTACTGTGCAGATACAAACACTTAAAATAGACAGGGGTCACTCCACGTGCTTGTCTTGTATTTTGTATCCCCTTTTCAGCCACTGCTGATTGGCGAGAAGGCAGAAGCACTTAGGGTTTATTTCTACAGAAGCGTTTGGTGGTCTAGGTTGAGCTGGCTGCAGTTCCTCACTGTTCCTTGTGTCAGTGCTCATGCAACTGGACAGAATGATGCTTCAGGGAGCCACTGTGGCTGAAAGTCATTGACTTCATTTTGCTGAGCTGCTAGATTGCTGCATCAGCTCCTTGAATGGTTTCCTGCTCAGTCACCTGAAGGCCAGGGCTGGGAAAAGTGGATGAGGCTAGGAGTGTGCAGCCGTAGAGAAGATGAGGCTGTGCCTTTCCTTGACTCTGCTCTGAAAGCCACAAACTTGGCTTAAGCAGTCCGAAATAAGGTGGCCTGTTTAGAAAATTCTTTTGCTTATTCTTCCAAAGAAGCTGTTAGCAGCTGATTGGATTGCAGTGACATAATTAATTAGGAGTTTCCAAATCAAGTGTAGTTACAAGATCCTGGTAGTAAAACTTCAAACGTGTCGTAGTTGAAATTAATGAAATCTGGGTGATTTTAGTTGGATGAAATTGCAATTTGGACAGTGCTTTAGGTGTACATTGAGAGAACCAAAGAGGCATTGGAAGGAGCAAGATTTATTCCACCTTTCTGTAATATTGCTGTTAAACCTGCCCCTGTGTGAATAACTGATTTTATTCTAAAGGAAATGACTAGAACATCATTCCAAAACAAAACTACCGTTTCTGTGTAAGAGTAGTCAAACTGTGATGTGGGTTGATTTTGCTATATGATTTTTATTTAAGTACAGCCAGAAAAAACTTTCAAAACCAAGTTGTCTTAAGTTGCAAAAGTGTTTTCTGTTCTCAGCATTCTACTTCAGGAATACTCATTTAAAATGAGGTTTTGATAGTGGCTAATTGAAAGTAATCTAGTGGAACGACAAGTTGAATTTTGTTAAACATCTTGTCGAATATGCCCTTTTGAAACAGTAGTGAGGGATGTCCCCATCCAGATACTTTCTCTTTTGCTACTTTCCAGGTAGGCACTGTAATGCGTTGTGCATATGATTACAAATACAATCGCAGATACCAATTTAAAAAATACCGTTTCCTGCAGCTATAACCTTTTCCCCTGCCTCCCCCTTCCCCCTCCCC